TTCTAATATCCTGTACCACAACCCCTTAAAAAAAACAAAAAAAAAAACACTTTTCTGTACATAGCATGTAAGCTAAGAAGCAGATCTACTGAAATTAAGTTTAGCTATTAATAACCATTGCTAGTAATCATCAGTTATAACTTGGGGGATGGAATAGAGAAATACTACATGTTCCATATCATTTCAGTGAATTAATAAGACAACTAAAGAACTCTTATAATTTAATTTTAATTTCATTCTGTTAAGATGCATGTGCAAGAGACTATCATTCACCATACAAAGGTTATTTTTATATTTCCTATGTGAAATTCTAAGGAACCATGCTGAAATCATGGATTGCTATGAATGCAGGTAGTAGTAAATGATTTCTGTCCACAACAGCTATGGGCTGAGTAATGAGTGAGATATCGTTTCCTCTTTGCAAAATTTCTTTCCAACCAGAAAGGTAATCCTTAGCATCTCAAGAGACACTAACACTAGGCATAACTCAGCAACCACCTGAGACTTTGGTTTATAGTCAATCACAGACTGCACTCTCTGATCTATGACAGCACAACAGGTCATAAATCTCTGACCTTTTATATTCAAATTCAAAGAAAGCAGGGGGAGGGGAAAGAGTGTTGTTTTTGTTAGATGCCCTGGAGTCATCTCTGACTCATACAAATCCTATGCACAGCAGAACTAAACACCACCTGGTCCTGAGCCAGCTCCATGATTCTTGCTATACTTGACCCCATCACCGCTGCCACCTTGTTAATCCATCTCGTTGAGGGCCTTCCTCTCTTTCCTTGACCTTCCACCTTACCAAGCATGGCATCCTTCTCCAGGGAATGGTCCCTTCTGACAACATGACCAAAGTAGGTGAGAAGTCTGGCCATTCTCACCTCCAAGGAGCATTCTGGCTACACTTCCTCCAGGACAGACCTGTTAGTTCTTTTAGCAGTCCACAGTACTTTCAGCATTCTTCACCAACACCAATGCTCAAAAGCATCAATTCTTCAGTCTTCCTTATTCATTGTCCAGCTTTCACATGCATATGAGATGACTGAAAATACCATGGTTTGTGTCAGGTACACCTTAGTCCTCAAGGAGACATCTTTGCTCTTCGGCACTTGAAAGAGGTCCTTTGCAGCTGATTTGCCCAGTGTTATATGTCGTCTGATGTCCTGACTGCTGCTTCCATTGCCGTCGATTGTAGAACCAAGCAATGTGAAGTCTTTGACAATTTCAATCTTTTCTCCATTTATCGTAATGCTGCTTATAGGCCCAGATTTGAGGGTTTTTGTTTTCTTTATATTGAGATGTAATCCATACTGCAGACTGTATTCTTCAATCTTCATCAGTAAGTACATCAAGTCACTCTCACGTCCAGCAAGCAAAGTTGTGTCATCAGCATATCACAGGTTGTTAATCACTGTTCCTCCAATCCTGATACCACATTCTTCTCCGTATAGTCCAGCTTCTCAGATTATTTGCACAGCATACAGATTGAGTAAGTATGGTGAAAGGATACAACCCTGATGCACTCCCTTCTTGATTTTAAACTATGCAGTATTCCCTTTTTCTGTTTGAATGACAGCCTCCTGGTCTATGTACAGGTTCCTCATGGCTACAGTTAAATGTTCTGTAATTCCCATTCTTCTCAATGTTATCCACAATTTGTTATGATCCACACAATCAAATGCTTTTGCATAGTCAATAAAACACAAGTAAACATCTTTCTGGTATTCTTTGTTTGGAGCCAAGATTCATCTGACATCGGCAATGATATCCCTCATTCCACGTCCTCTTGTGACTCCAGCTTGTACCTCTGGAAGTTCTGTGCCAATATACTGCTGCAACTGTTTTTGAATTATCTTCAGTGAGATTTTACTTGCATGTGATATTAATGATATTATTTGATAATTTTCACCTTTCTTGGAATGGGTACAAATATGGATCTCTTCCAGTCAGTTGGCCAGGTAGCTGTCTTCCAAATCTCTTGGCATAACCGAGTGACTGCCTCCAGCGGGGCAGGGGAAACAACAGTAGAAATTAATATTTATTTTGAACATGTTAGATACTCAGTTGAGCACTTTATATTTGATCTTCACTGCTATTTTATGAAGAAGTTCTGGTGGCATAGTGCCTAAGGCATATGACTGCTAACCAGAAGGTTGGTGATACAAACCCACTAGCCACTCTGTGGAAGGAAGACTTAGCAATCTACTTCCATAAAGATTTACCACCTCAAAAACCTAAAAGAGGACACTATGAGTTGGAATCAACTCCATGGCAGTAAGTTTGATTTTTTTGGTTTTGTTATCTTATGATTCCCATTTACAGATGAGGAACTGAAGTTGACAGAATATAATTTACTTACCTGGGGAAACTAACTTACCCATCATATTATTCAACCTCCTATTTAAATAGATCCTCTCTCTAACTATAATCTTTGACCTTTAAAAGTTCATATTGATTAGCATACACATTTTCTATATTAGTACCAAACAATTAGGACATGATTGAACCACAGAAGTTGTCATATCAAGAAAAATATATCCCCAAGATTATGGCCCTTAGACATCCTTCAAGCCTGGATCTGATCTCATCCCACCCCCACCCCCACCACACCCCCACACCCCTGGCTCAACTTTCAGTCAAACAATAGACAGTCCTATGTGATGAACAAGGGAGGTAAGCACTCCTTAGAATAACCAATTATAAGAGATCAAAAAGGCCACATTTGTCCAGGAATAAAGCTCAGAAGGCAGGAAGGGATAGGAAAGAAGGACGAATGGAATAGGACCAATAGCAAAACAAAAAGCAAGGATCTTATTCATTAAAGCCAAGTAGAGCCAGTCTTTTTCAAGGCATAAATTCAACTTAGTACACAGGGCTGAAGAAGACAGAGCAGCATGGAATTACACCTGATAGTTTGTACACACAGAAGTGACTATAGGGAGTATGCCAAGGGAGTCTGTCTTCTCTTTGATGAATTCTAAGCCAATAAAATGGTGAGAGGGGCAGTAGATAGGGATAAAATTCTCTGCCCAATACTCTCCAACCACTTCTAATGTGCTTGACATGATCTGTATTATCATACATTTGCAATCTCATGAGTTCAGCGGCTCATCCCTAAGATTTACAAAATACTAATTAGCTTAATTTAAGAACAATCTACTCCTTAAAATAAACAAAAAAAAGTGTGATCTTTTTCAAGCGCTTTTCTCTGTTTGTTAATCTAAATTTTAAGGCAGAAAGCACACATCTGAGCCTAATTCCCCCAAAAAATAGCAAAGCTATATATTGTCTACTTTATAGTAATAACAAAAGTGTGTGGGAAGGAACAGAGCATATATTTAAAATTTATAAATTTTAAATATATGCTCTGTTCCTTCCCACACACTTTTGGAGACAGAATTTTCCCTCTACAAAACATGGAAATAATTTCACTGAAAGAAACAAAAGATTAAAACTAGTTAAAAGAAGTAAGATAAATAAAATTTCACATTTTACATATAGCAATAGAAAGTATTTTTAAATGTTTTCATGAATATTAATAACACCAATAATTAGTACCTGAACATTTTAATGACCATAGATTTAACACTAGGAAGGAAATTATACTTTTCATAAGGTGTAAATGTATGTGTGTGTGTGTGTATATAAACACACACATTATTTATACACATATGTATAAACTCACTGCCATCAAGTCGATCCCAAGTCATAGTGACCCCTCCTTGGGTTCCTGAGGCAGTATCAGTACGGAAGTGGATTGCCCAATCTCCTTTCCGAAGAATGGCTGGTGGCTTTGAAACACCAGCCTTCTGGTTAGCAGTCAAATGCCTTAGGCACTAGGCCACCAGAGCTTTATATATACATAAAGGTGTATTTTTGTCTCTCAGCTGGTGTTACTTTTTATAGTATTTAACAGCAAAATAGTCTGTGTGCACTGTACACATGGTAATAATGTAGATTATAATTTTTGGAAGCATAAGTAATAACGTATGAGAAACTTCAGAGATGTAATTTAAGTAACTATTATATTTTGAAAACAATTGCAGATTATAGACAAATCAGAAATTAACACTAAGACGACATGATCAGAAAATCACAAAACATACACTTGGGAAAAACAAAGATAAACCTCTAGCAATCATACTGATCACATTTAAATTCTTAGAAAATAGTATATTTTAAAACATTTCTTAAAAATACTCATGGGATTAATATGTCATTTAAGTGTGTGCTTAACAATTATAAAAGAAGCATCAAAATCATCCTCAAATGTAAAAGTCTACTTATTATTATAACATGACTGATATTGAAACACATTCAAACACACAATCCGAGAGAGCAAGGACAGCAACATACATAGTGAGGGTGCATAACTGAGCCCTCATCCCAATCCCAGGTAAATACAAGAATCAGTCATAGTGCTTTCTCCTTGAGCCTAGAAAAATCCTCCAAACGATTTTCAAAGAGAGCACTTTAAGCAGCCACTACCAACAAATCACAGATGAAATAACATATGAAACCTGTTTTGTATCACTGACCTAGCAGTTTTCACTGACCTAGTATTTTAGTGACCTGAAACATTGATACAATTTTTAGATAATTATTTTTAAATCAGAAATTACTATATTCTCATATGATTTACAGATTCAAATAAATTGTTCCCAAAAACAAGGTTTATACTGAAACAATCACCACAAAAGTAAAGAATGCAATGTCAAACTTAAACCCATTAGTAAGAAATAACGGGATATATTGCTTTCTCTTGAGAAGCTCAAGAATGTACTCAGGCTATGAATAAGAATACCACTAAAACAGAAAAGTAAGGTCCTTTTCAACATGGGTAATACATTTGCTACTCATTGAGGCACAGGACTGACAAAACACATGAAGAGTCCTGATTTTTCAGAGAGGTTCTAGACTTTTGTGTCACTAACAACAAAAGTAGAAGTAAAAAGGTGATTTACAGCTCTAGCAAACATGCAAAACTTAACACTTACTTTTGCAAAGGCTTCAAAAATGTCAAAGGAAAGTGGCAGCTGAGAAGCATCCGGCATTTCTTCTTTCATGAAATGCTGAAATGTCATTGCAAGTTGCCTGAGGCCCTCTTTCTTATCTTCAGTCAGTTTGTTAATGTCTTTATTTAAAGAGAAAATAAATAGCATAATCACAAAGTGAACTTTTAAGGGATAATTTTCAGAGCTCCAATGGCAGCTGTTAGGCCAGATATTTCCTACCCTAAATTCCATTCTGACAGAGAATACATGACCTTTTATGATAACTATAAATCACAAAAATATTTTATCATCTAAATTCTGTCCCACCTCATCTATAAAATAAAATTAAAAATCTATCAAACAAAATAATTCACATATAAATGAAAAAGTATTAAAACCAAAATAAGTGAAAGTATGTGTTAATAGATTTTCTATACCATTTTGTACATACATACAAAATACCATGCATTCTTACTAAATCAGTCAATTTAAGGAGACTTTTCCATTAAATAATTTACAACTAGGTCACAATTAACTGATAATTTGTAGAAAAAAAAAAGGTGAGAATTAAAAAGTTCAGGAAGTTTCAATAAGGTTAGGCAGACATAATACATCAAGTAGAAGACATGACAACAAAGGAAATCTCAATTTCAAATTATTTCTAGGTTGAATAAACAAGAAAAGGTGCTGCTTCAATCTGAACAGAAGGTTCCAAAAATAATTATTCTCTTAAAAATTCACTTTAAAGTATATCACAAACAGGTTAAGGCTAAGTGTGCACAATTCAATTAACAATGTCATACACTGCTACTTCAGCAGGGCTAATGTTAACAGTAAAACTCTACTATAAAAGATGTTAATTATCAAACAGTAATATAACAAAAAATATGACTAATTACTTCTCTATAAAAGCTTGAAAAGTTACATTAAGGTGAACTACAGTATAACTGTTACTGATGTCAGGTTTACATATTTTTGTTAAATTACCTGTTCAACAGAACAATTAACGCAATGATTTCTCAAATCATAATTTATTAGCATTGGCACTTATGATCCCATAACCATAAATCTGTACCAGATCTTATTTGCCTCAATTAAGAAATATCAAACTGTATCATGAATTTACTCTATCAGCTCTGGCTGGTTTGCAGTTGAAGTCATTTACAATTCCAATGAAGAAGAAGTGCCAATATGAAAGCAGAACAAACCCTGTATTTGCTTAGGTGCAGTGGTTAAACACTGGGCTACTAACTGAAAGGTTATTCAGTGGGAAAGAGATGTGGCAATCTGCTTCCGTAAAGACTGGAAACCCTCTGGGGCAGGTCTACTCTGTCCTATAGGGTCTCTACAAGTCAGAAATGACTCCACAGCAATGGGTTTGCTTTTTTTTTTTTTTTCCCTTCTGTTTAATACTCGGGCTTGGAAAGCCTTCCAGTCATCCCAAGCAGCTGAGCCACTCACCATAGGAGTTCAGGAGAAGGACAATTCTCAGTGGTCTGGGAGAGCCTAACTGATCTGTATCTGCTACTTCCCTCAATATCTAAAGGACCAAAGTGGGGAAAAAAAAAAAAAAAAAAAAAAACCCTCATTACCACTGAGTTGATTCCAACCCATAGCAACCTCATATATAGGGTAGATCAGCCCCATAGGGTTCCTAAGGCTATAATCTTTACAGGAACATACTGCCACATCTTTCTCCCAAAGAGTTGCTGGTGCGGGAAACCATCAACCCTTTGTTTAGCAGTTCCTTAACAAAAGGAACTCTGGTGCCATAGTGCCTAAGGCATTTGATAGCTAACCAGAAGGTTAGCAGTTCAAATCCACCAGCCATTCTATGGAAGGAAGACTGGGCAATCTATTTTCATAAAGATTACTGCCTCAGAAACCCAAAGGGGGTCGCTTTGACTCAGAATTGACTTGATGGCAGTGAGTTTGTTTTTGTTTTTGTTTTGTTTTGTTTTATAGCAAAAGGACTAGTGAACATAAACGTTCTCCGGAACTCTTTGTTCACTAAATCTTTCTTCCCTGACATCAACCAGAAACCAGGAAAGAAAATCAAGAGAGGGAAGAAGGGAACGAGGGAGAGAGAAATAGGATAAAAATTATTTTATCAAATGGACTAATGGTTACATTCCTGTCTTCTAATCTGAACTGTCATCACATTTCACAAACTCCTCTATAACCAACTCTACCCTAGAATTAACTAAAAAGGTTAATGTGTTGACAATATACAAAAAACACAAAAAGTTTTGTTAGATTTATCCCACAGAAAAACAAAGGCATAGAATAAAGCCATTCACTAGCTCATCAACTGGTAGGCAGGCATTTACTTTTTGGTAGGCTGACAGATGATCACTTACTTGACTCCAGATCGTAGAATGAGTAAAGTTTCTCCGATTCAGAGGGTGTTTCTTCCATCTGTGAAGGAAAAACATCAAAAAAACAATTTCAAGTGCTCTAATAAATAAATGAGTATCAATTTGAGCACCTTTAGTTATTGAAAGTGTGCAAAAAATACAATTTTCACTTTTAGATTGCATTTCTTAATAGTAACAACTTTAAATTAAATCCAACTTGAAACTTAACCCATCAGTTTAAGATCTAAATGCATAATTATTCTATAAGAAGTTTCATACTTATATATTCTTAGAGCCTTCTAATTTATAAAATGTTAGACTGGCCGAAAAAGAAAGTTGATAAACAACAGGACAAAATGGAGCTGGAGCCTATAATAATTTGGGAGAGACATATTCATGCTAAAGTTTTTCTGGGGGAAATAATCTGTTATAAAAGCATAATTCACCAGAGCAGGATTTCACAGAATCTACTAACTGGTTTGACAGTATTGGAAAATATACTGAAATACAGTAAAGAAATAATTTCAATGAATATGGTTATAAAAAAATATATAAACACTCTTCCATTTAAGATTAACTCTCTTCCCATTAAAATCTCATTTAAAGAGGCAACCAAAAAATGATATATTTGCCTTACTTGTTAGTTCACAGTAGAAAAGTTGTAAAGGCACTGTGACAGACATCACTAACATCTCATATCCAAGCTATAGGACCTTGTGTTTCCATTTCCAGAAAGAAATCTAAGGGCCTTCAGAGAAGCGCTGTGGACTTCATCACTGTCATTGATGCTAGGATTAACAGGAAAACAGCAAGTATTTTTGTCTTCAAATCTCACTTCTACCTTAACTTGGGTTTCCTTTCAGCCTCAAATAAGGATAATAAATACAACTTTAAGTGCTTTTGTTAAATTAGAACCCAAGCATATTTCATGTGCTTCATACTCACAAGTTTAAAAACAACTCTGCCAAGAAGTCGGACAGAGTCTGGAGGGTATCTGGGTTTGCAGCTTTTAAGGCATTTGCATTCTCGCTTGTGGTCAGGCCAAGCTTTTTTCTGTTAAAACAAGAGTGAGAGAGTATACAATTCATTAACTTTCATTTACATTGGTTTTGAACGTGGAGAGTCACCAACAGCAATTTAATTTGAACAGCCTAAATATGACAGCAAAGTAGAAAACCAAGATACGATTCCACTACTGGTAATGATACAGGGTTCAGTCTTCACCAAGTATGCAATTACTAGGCATGGAGATTAAAAGTTTCACCTTTATCTCTGCCCTTTAATTTACCCCCTGATTATTACCTGGCTGGTGGAATCCAAAGAAAGAACTATTATTGCTTACTTAATAATAATAATAAGGTAGTCTTTTAACTGCTTAAATAGCACTCAATAACAGACAGTGATCTTGAACACAAAAAGAAAATCTCACTCCAAATTAGAAAATAAAACACATGGTTCAGGAAATTAAGGTAGGGAAGACAGCTCTGTAAATTCCTGTGCTACTAAAGCAAGTACAGAAATATCAAGAGGACAAATAGATAGCCAAAAGTAAAAAACTCTTTTTGTTTTTGGAGGCAACACAAAAAGGGGCCATTAGCTAAAATGACCAAATGTCCAATCAACTCAGGTCTATTTCTCTGGCTTACTTTGGATTTATCATTTGGAAAGACTAAAAAAACATATCATATTTAGTAAGGTAAGAAGGTCAGTGAAAAAGAGGGAGACCCTCAATAAAATGGACTGACACAGAAGTAGCTGCAACAATGGGCTCAAAGATACCAACAATTGAGATGATGGTGCAGGACTGGGCAACATTTTGCTCTGTTGTACATAAGGCCATTGTGACTCAGAGCTAACTAGTCAGCAACTTACAACAAAATTTTAGTTTATGCTTGTTGTCCTGGCTTAATTATTATTAGCACCCTTTTTCACTCTCAAAAATGCCTGCTTTTGATGATAAATTGCATGGTCCCTGTGGTAGTTAAGTTTGTGTGTCAACTTGGTTAAGCCTGGTTGAGTGGCTGGGCAGGTGGATGTAGTATTTCCCCATGATGAGACCGGTAATCAACTCCATGGTGGAATCTACTGTGAGCAGCTGAGTGGCTACCTTAGGGATGTGGTCTGCCTCCTGTATAAAAGGAGAAGCCTTGGGGATAATCTCTAGCTTATGGCACACTTGAACCCTGCATGTAGCCATGTCATTGTTCAGCAGCCTGCCATTCTCTTCTGACTTTGGGACTTTCAATGGACTTGAATTAATGGCATGCCATGTGGTTTGGTAACATCGGGACTATGCCTTTTTACTTGTCAACCTTGGGCTTGTCAGTCTCAGCAGCCAGCAGCTGTCTGAGTGAAGAAAAACCTCTAGCTCCAGTGGGCCGGGAGCAGAAGGCAGAGCTGAAGCCCAAGGTTGAGGGGCTTTCACCCAGCCCCTAGAGCATGGTACTTTGAACTCAGACTTAAAGCCTCCAAACTGTAAGAGAATAAACTGTTTGTTAAGGCCTTCCCATTTGTGGTATATTCCTGTCAGTGTGGCATTGGGTAACCAGAACAGTCCTCTTAGCCATTCCACCAGTTGTCTGTCAGTTTGTCATATTGTGGTTGCTTGTGTGTTGCTGTGAGGCTGGAGCCTATGCCACCGGTTTTTCAAATGACAGAAAGGCCATCTATGGTGGACAGGTTTCAGCACAGCTTCCAGGCTAAGACAGACTCAGAAGAAGGAAGAGGTCATCCATTTCTCAAAGAATTGGCCAGTAAATACTTTATGAATAGCAGTGAAACACTGTGTGATATAGTACTGGAAAACTTTATGAATAGCCTTGAAACATTATTCGATACTGTGTGGGAAGATGAGCCCCTCAGGTCAGAGGGCACTCAAAATATGACTGGAGAAGAGCTGCCTCCTCACAGTAGAGGTGACCTTAATAATGTGGATGGAGTAAAGCTTTCAGGACCTTCATTTACTGATGTGGAACAACTCAAAATGAGAAGAAACAGCTGCAAACATCCATTAATAATCAGAAAATGGAATGTACAAAGTATGTTGTTGTTAGGTGCCGTCAAGTGGTCTCCAACTCGTAGTAACCCTATGTACAGCAGAACAAAACACTGCCCAGTCCTGTGCCAGCTCCATGATCCCTGCTATACCTGAGCCCATTGTTGCAACCACTGTGTCAATCCATCTTGTTAAGGGCTTTCCCCTACTTCATTGACCCTCCACTTTACCAAGCATGCTATCCTTCTCCAAGGAATGATCTCTTTTCACAACATGACCAAAGTAGGTGAGAAGAAGTCTGGTCATTGTTGCTTCCAAGGAGCATTGCAGCTGCACTTCTTCCAGGGCAGATTTGGTAGTTCTTTTAGCAATTCATGGTACTTTCAGCAGCACCACAACTCAAAAGCATAGACTCTTCTTTGGTCTTCCTTATTCATTGTGCAGCTCTCATATGCATATGAGGTGATTGAAAATACCCTATCAGGTGTCAGGTGCACTTTAGTCCTCAAGGAAACATCTTTGTTCGTTAGCACTTGAAAGAGGTCTTTGGCAGCCAATGTGCCCAGTGCTATATGTCATCTGATATCTTGACTACTGCTTCCAATGGGGTTGACTGTAGAAATATGGATCTCTTCTACTCACTTGGCCAGGTAGCTGTCTTCCAAACTTCTTGGCATAGCTGAGTGAGTGCCTCCAGCATGGCACCCATTTTTGAAATATCTCACTGGGTATCCCATCAATTCCTGGTGCCTTGTTTTTTGCCACTTCCTTCAGTGCAGATTCGACTTCTTTCTTCAATACCATTGGTTCTTGATCATATGCTACCTCCTGAAATGGATGAGCACTGACCAATTCTTTTTGGTACAATGACTCTGTTTATTCCTTCTATTTTATTTTGATGTTTCCTGCATCATTCAATATTTTGCCCATAGAATCATTCAATATCGCAACTCGAGGCTTCAATTTTTTCTTCAGTTCTTTTAGCTTGAGAAATACGTAGTGCATTCTTCCCTTTTGATTTTCTAACGCCAGGTCTTTGTATATTTCATTATAATTATTGACTTTGTCTTCAGGAGCTGGTCTTTGAAATCTTCTGGTCAGCTCTCTTATCTGGTCATTTCTTCCATTTGCTTTAGCTACTCTCTGTTCAAGTGCAAGTTTCATTGTCTCTTCTAACATCCATTTTGGTCTTTTATTCCTTTCCTGTCTTTCCAATGGTCTTTTGCTTTCTTCATGGATGATGTTCTTGATGTCATCCTATAATTTCTCTGATGTTCAGTACATCAAATCCATTTCTGAGATAGTTTCTAAATTCAAGAGGGATATATTCAAGGTAATGCTTTGACTCTCGTGGACTTGTTTTGTCTTCAACTTCAACTTGAATTTGCTTATGAACAGTTGATGCTCTGCTTCACAATCAGTTCCTGGCTTTGTATTGGCTGGAAATATTGAACTTTTCCATCGCCTCTTCCCACAGATGTAATCCATCTGATTCCTGTGCACTCTACCTTGCAAAGTCCATGTGTATACCCAACATTTGATACATTTGAGCCACAGTCTAATTTTTACTGGACAACTTTACAAATAGCCCTGAAACATTGTACAAAGTATGAACACAGGAAAAATGGACAAAAAAAGCAAACTCATTGCCATCGAGTCAGATCCAACTCATAGTGACCCCTCCTTGGGTTTCCGAGGGGGTATCACTATGGAAGTAGATTGCCCAACCTTCCTTCTGAGGGTGAAACACACAAAGATTGATATCCTAGGCATAAGTGAGCTGAAATGGGCTTTTTTTGAAAATTTTGAATCAGAAAACCATATGATCTACTATACCAGAAATGACAAATTAAAGAGGAATGGTGTGGCATTCATCGTCACAAAGAATGTTTCAAGATACATCCTGAAATACAATGCTGTCAGTGATAAGATAATATTCATATGCCTACAAGGAAGACCACTTAATACCACTGTTATTCAAATTTACACACCAACCACCAAAGCCAAAGTCAAGGAAATTGAAGATTGTTACCAACTTCTGCAGTCTGAAATTGATCAAACATGTAATCAAGATTTGCTAATTATCACTGGTGATTGGAATACAAAATTTGGAAACAAAGAAGAGTCACTAGTAGTTGGAAAATATGGCCTTGGTGATAGAAATGACAATGGAGATTGCATGATAAAATTTTGCAAGACCAAAACTTGTTCACTGTAAATACCTTTTTTCAACAGCACAAATGGTGGCTATACACATGGACTTTGCCAGATGGAGTACATAGGAATTAGATCAACTACATCAGTGACAATTGGCAATGGAGAAGCTCATCTTCAGCCAAAATAAAGCCAGGAGCTGACAGTGGAACAGATCATCAACGGTTCATATACAAGTTCTAGCTGAAGCTGAAGACAATTAAAACAAGTCCATGAGAGCCAAAACATGACCTTGAATATACCTATCCTGAATTTAGAGACCATCTAAAGAATAGATTTGATGCACTGAACACCAATGACAGAAAGCCAGAGGAATTGTGGGATGATATAAGAAACATCATCCATGAAGAAAGCAAAAGGCCATTAAAAAAAAACAGGAAAGGAAGAAAAGACAAAAACGGATGTCAGAAGAGACAATGAAACTTGTGCAAACAAATTAGGGATAATATTGAGAAGAATGGGAATTCCATAACACTTAATTGTCCTTATGAGGAACCTGTACATAGACCAGGAGGCTGTTGTTTGAACAGAACAAGAGGATAGTGCATGGTTTAAAATCAGGAAGGGAGTGTGTCAGGCCTGTATCCTTTCATCATACTTATTAAATCTGTATGCTGAGCAAATAATCCGAAAAGCTGGACTATATGAAGAAGAATGTGGCATCACAATTGGAGGAAGACTCATTAATAACCTGCAATATGCAGATGACACAACTTTGCTTGCTGAAAGTGAGGATGACTTGAAGCACTTAGTGATGAAGATTAAAGACTACAGTCTGCAGTATGGATTACACCTCAATATAAAGAAAACAAAATTCCTCATAACTGGCCTGATAAACAGCTTC